ATATTAAAAAAAAAAAAAAAAAAGAATTATCTGAAAAGGCATTTTGTTATAATTGTTATGAATAAATCCAATTTAGATTAAATAAGTAATGTGAAATATATGTACTATACAGGAAATCCTTACATCAAGAAGAATATTCCCAAAGCTTGCTGCTGATATCATCACCAAACAGCAAAAGAAACTGTCTTTTCTAAAAACGTCTGATTCCCTTCATTCTTCCCTTGACAGAACCCCTTTTCTCTCCCACATTCTACACCTCCTTTGTTTTCCACCTTCTCCAAACCTTCACTACCCTCAGTCATGTCAATAACATTTCTCTACATTTCACTGTGACCCAACCCAATAATAAATCATTGGTAGAACCAATGATATACCTGTGTCAAGGGAAAAAATAAACATAACTTTTAAAAATGAGTTTAAAGAAGAGTATCACCAAGTCAAAAGCACAATTGCCTCTTATTCTCTGATTAAATAAGCCTTTATATAAAAATAAAATGGTTTCTTGTTCACTTTCATTCAGTACTGTTTATTCTGTATAACTGTATATTTAAATTGTAATGTTTCCAATTCAATTACAAATGTCCTATTTCATCAACCTTACGTTAAATTGGGTTTTGTATGCTAGCCTGTAATCTTCCATAACAGTAATTCTGTGGGGCAAATGCTAGATGTTACAAATTCTAACTTGTAAACAAATACAATAAACAAAAATTAAACTACAACCTGTTTGTAAATCAGGGCATGGCTGCATGGTATTTAGCATGCTGTAGCAAAGTCATAGGGATAAAACAAATGTAATTTTAATAGGTATATAACTAAACAAAGGTAATTTTCCATAATCTCAATGATATATAAAAGTGTTTTTCATTTTACAGAAAATTTCAACTACTCTGCTTTATATGGTTCACTGTCATTCTTTTGTATTCACTTCCTAGTCTTCTTTTCTATAATTACCAAGAATATAATAATAGCAAGAACAAAAGTGTCAGGTCTTATAATCTATAATAATAATTACCACCTAAGAAAAAAGTATTACCACAGAGGATGGCAAAGTTAAGAGGAAAGTGATTCTTGTTCTATTGAGCCAGATGTTCTATAATAGAAATCTGATGTCTCTAACCCACAAAGGGTAAGTGTGGCTTTATTATAGTATTTAAAGTTATCATTCAAAACTAATATATAATGCTTTGTGTGTTATTTGTTGAGTCATATTTAATGTACCAGTGCTCTTCATCATCCACACAAATGATTAAGAATGGGATAGGCCTTGGCCAGTTTGCTCAGTGGTTAGAGTGTCAACCCATGTAGCAAAGGGTCGTGGGTTCAATTCCCAGTCAAGGGCACATACCTGGGTTGCAGGTTCCATCCCTGGCCCCAGTCAGGGTTCGTGCGGGAGGCAATCAATAGATGTTTCTCTCTCTCTGTCTCTCTCTTTCTCTCCCTCTGCCCCTCCCTCCCTTCCATTCTCTCTAAAATCAATGGAAAAATGTCCTTGGGCAAGGATTAACAACAACTGCAAGAAAGAATGGGATAAAATTGTATCAGAGCTAATTTTTCTAAGAGCTCAAACCTAAGTATTATTTCATTTATGTGAACTATAATCACACTATATCATTAAAAATATAATCCTATTTCCTCAAAATGATTGATTTAAGCACACAATCCTTAAAACATGAGATTGTTATATTTTAAAATTATCTATAATGACTTAGCTTGTGGGATAACTAAAAAGAGACAATAGTGTGGTGAAGGCCTGGGGTGGGGGCGAGGGCAGCGTAGAAGGGGTCAATGGGGGAAAAAAGGGACATCTGTAATACTTTCAACAATAAAGATAAATTACACACACACACACACACACATATGATGTTGAAACTTTCAGTTCTCGTAAGTAGAAAAGGCACCCAGGGCTACTGTTTTTTCTGATTCACTTGAATTTCTGAGAAAGAAAGGGGAAATAAATAGAGTGAGCCTAAACATTTAACTAAGAAACTGGAATGCATGAAAGAATAAAGAAAAAAATGGATTTTACATAATCCTTAAACTAATAATCTACCAACTTTTCTCAAAAATTATCATGGATTCTGAGAGGGAAGATTTCCACAGTAAAATCACACAGACATATCCCAGGATGAAAGATAAGTGAATAGAATGGTGGTCAGAAAAGAGATGATTCCTCAAAGCTCATGGGCAAGAAAATTCTAAAACCATTAGAGATAGGAGTAAACTAGACCACAAGTAAGCTTTGTCAGGGACAAGCCTAGAAATGGGTTTTAGGATGTCTGCAGAGGACACTAGGAATGAAGAATACAACCTTTAAGACAATATTAACTGTGTGTTTTTTAAAAAAAGATATTTCCAAAAGAGTAAAACATATAGTTAAAATAAATGCTTCAAAAAGGTTAAGGAATCAACATTCTAATTATAGGAATTTGTTAATATTGTAAAATTACTGTGATATCACCTTTAAATAAACTTGTTTTAAATAGAGTTATCCAGAACAAAATTATTTTCTAATACTGTTATTTCAACAATTGTCTACTTTCATACCTCTTCATAAATTGTGCTTTATCCAGTTTGGTGCTTTTCTTTCAGGTAAAGAAACTGATCACAACCAATGTCTAAAATTGTAAGGACTAAACTTTGGTATTCGAAAAGAAATAGGTCAGCAATGTTGCTTGTTAATGATCAGTTCCAAAAAATCACGACACTGTGACTAGTTTGGCTCAGGATGACCATATGTTGCTAGGATCAGCGTAAAGCAGAGTCTATAAATGTAAGCATTAAGTGTTATTATTAGATTAATTATTAGACTGATACATTTTTAAAAGCATATTCAATACCATTCACTTTTCCTGAAATGACGTTGCTATATGATGTCAATGGCACAAAACTAGAGGAAAGATGTGTATAGCTCTTGAGGTGAATGGCTGTGTATGATTAAATTAAAATTAATTTAGTACCCAGATTCAGTAATGAGCACAAGCAGCATCTTGGGAAATACACAAACTTTACTTGGGTTACCTGTGCAATGGGGAAGACAATAGGAGTCAACACTCTTAACACCATGCTGCCATAAAAACCCTTAAAAATAGCAGTTAGTTTAAAAGACTAAAAGTAATTATGAGACAGCAGTCTGAGTACTTGAGAATGGCAATAAGGAAATATAGCACATTCTCAATAGCCCAGATAAATGAACTGTTGGCTGACTTTATAAGATAAGGAGCAGCTTATTAATAAAATCATTAAGGACACATTCTCTTGAAAACTTAGGGTTTTAAAGATAAGGCTCCATGTTTAGTAAATGTAATTTTAAAGGCTAACAGCAATTATTTACCAATATTACCATAAGTATGAGTTAAAATCAATTATAGAAAAATGTATTTTCCATCAATATAAAAAATATAAAACATCAAAATTTACTAATGTCATAATTTTCAATCACAAAAGCAAGCTCTAGAAATTTTCTTGGCACTATTTCTTTCCAACCAAAATATTTTGTTTCCCAGAAGTAAAATTTAAGGGTCTCAACTAAAATAAGACACTATCTTCAGGAACAAGATGACTGCTAAGCAGTTCATTGGTTGGTACTTGTATGTGCTCTCTCTCATCTATTAAAGAAGGCTAAAAATGATTCAACGGGTGATGTGTTTCGATGGACTCAAAACTTATATGTTTAAAGGTCTACACATAAGTGTTAGTTCTTTTCAAGATCTAACTCCCATATCTAAAGGAAGAAAAAATATTGCTGAGCCTATTTTTAAAGACCGAAATCATATCAAGCATCTTCTCGAACATTTACACCATGGAATACTATGCAGCTGTAAAAACAAAGGATCCTTTACCCTGTGGTGGGACCTGGAGAGTACTATGCTAAGTGAAATAAGCCAGTCAGAGAAAGACAAGTGTCACATGATCTTACTCATATGTGGAATCTAATGAACAAAAGAAACTGATGAACAAAATAGATCCAGAGACATAGAAGCATGGAACAGACTGATGAATCTCAGAGGGAAGGTAGGGATGGGTAGGGGGTGAGGAGAGATTAACATAAAAACTTATATTCATATATTCATAACCCATGGACACAGACAAGAGTGGAGTGAAAGCCTGGGGGGAGGGGTACAGGGTGAAGGGGATCAATGGGGAGAAAAGGGAACATTTGTAATACTTTCAACAATAAAGATAAATTTAAAAAAATAAAAAGACTTCTAGAAGCTCAGATTATAGTTCCACAGAATTCTATTTAAGTCTGTTTATATAAAATCATTAACATGAATAAAACCAAATTAAAATTATAACATTATCAAAAAGATTAAGGTATATATTGTTATCAAACACGATTACTGCCTGGTGTCATTTGTTTACACAGAAGGCTTTTCTTAAATGATTCTCTTTTGTAAATATACATCTGTATTGGTTTCCTCTCAACTTGCTTACAGACCACACACTACGTGACACCTCTCTGTAACAGTCAAAGTTTCACATGTCTACACAAAAGATTGGTAAGTCTACTCAAAACAGGGGATATCAGAGTCTACTGCAGAAAAAGATTTGAAAATGTCTTACCCCAGATATGAGAAACACTTTGCAGAAGTCCAAAACTGGCAGAATCTGTAGAAAACTGGCAGCTTCCAGTGTGTCTTGAAGGTTGTCCATATTCAGAGAAAGTTTTGCAGTATAAATGAAATCAATGATTTTCCTTAAACCAACTTTGCTCACGCCATGAAGCTTAATGCACATTAAATCTTGTTCTTTCATTCCACCTTAAATAAAAAGACATTCAATTAAATTAAGACATATACTTTAATTAAAGTCACACTCACTTCTGCTGCTAATTAGATACAATAAAATCAAGAAAAAGTTTTATTCTGTGTAAGCATTCATGTCAGTTAGGCTTCTGCATAATTTATAATTAAAAGAATGTACTTTAAAAGAAATATCTCTATACTAATGTTCTCCTGTCACTTCATATCTTTTGATGAATTAAAGATTATAGTAATGGGACCCAGAGTCTCGGATGCCCATTCATATATGTGTCTGGAAAAGAAAAGCTGTGAAATAAAAGAGGGAGGCAGTATGAAAGAAGTACATACATTTCCCAAGTTTAAAAAGTGCCACCCACAACCACACTTACTGGGTATATTCCTTTTGAAACTGTTTCTTCTTATAATGACACAGACTAAAAGAGCTGAATGCACTTTAGAAATAAAAAGATTTAAACATGTATTTTTCATATTGTTTTAACATGGATGCAGAGTTTAAAAGGGTGACCTACCTGTGAACATAGCTTTGAAGTAATCACTAGCAGAGGCCATCATGACACGATGCACAGGGAAGGCATCATCTGTGTCACCTGGCATCAGGGTCACATCACAAAGCAAGCCTTCATGTCGAAGCTGGTCAAAGCCCTACAACAAAAACAGGAGTTGCACCACTAATCAAGGTAAAATGGGTAGACAAATCTCCATGTGCTAAAATTCTGTTCATATATTAATGAGTGTGCGACCTATTTGGAAAATAAAAACAATAGACTAATTACTCAGAAAATGATAAAACTGAACAGCTTACTTGATATTTGACAATATTTAATTCACTGTAGGGAAAAGATAAAATTAAGACTAATTTAGATTAAAAATGAATAAGGGGAAAGGTATATACATTCACTTTTTTTACAGAACCAGTGGCTTTTACCTTATTTTGCAAAACAATTATCATGTATACTTTCATTTTCCCATGTGCAGAATTACAGTGCTAGACTAACATCCTTTCCATAATAGTATATTTATTAAAAGTCCTTTTACAGAACTTTACTGATACCTTATTTTTGTTTTGTTTTTTGTTTGTTTGGTTTTGAGAAAGAAAGGCACAGAGTATCTGTGTGGGCTGCAAGACAGGAGTTCCTTTTTACCAACTAGAGTGTTCCATCTCTTCGAGAATTAGGGATTGTGTCTTAGGTATCCTTGTACTTTGTACCCTTGCTGCTGCTTGATCAATTATCTTTCAAGTTTCAAGTTTGGAATTTAATTATCTTTGGAAAAAGGAGCCCAGGAGACCCGACGTGAGACATAATTGTCCCCAAATACCTAAAGTCTAGTGGAGAATTAATAGGCTAGCAACCACAGAACAAATAGACAGTTGTTTCTTTGGTCTACTCTGGGGAGAATGAAACATGTTAAGTTTATAATAGGAGGGTACATGGAAAAAAATGAGATAATATTCAATATAATAATAAGGCTCAAAATGAAGATTTTGGCAATATTGAGTGTGCAGTTTCAAAAATGGAAATACATTGTTATAAAAAATCATAAAGATACTCATATAAATTACTTTCTAATAATATAATGTAATATAACAGAGAATGTAATACAACAGGAACTAATAGCAAGGATTATTCTATCCTCTTCATATTTTAATGACCTCAAATGAAACTTTTATTTAAAATTGTGTTTCATGGATTTACGAAGCAAAAGGCATGACATACTGAAAAATGCAGTTTTAGAAATATTGATCCTACACATATGTATGTAATCTAAATCTCAGTCTAAACATTTTCTCATCATAATTTTTAAATTGCTTTTTAAAGAAAATGCTTGGATCTACAGAATTGGAACTTCAAAGAGATAATGTGATCCAGCCACTTTCTCTCTGGAGATATATTTTTATTCCAAAAATATTTATACAATATACATATACTTTAGAACAGGATTATGTATCATAGTTTTCTTTCTCCAACAGTGATTGACATATGTTTTTGTTCACAAATATCAAATCTTTCAGGAATGCCCCTTTCCTTTAAAACACAAACATTATATACCCCACCCTCGCTATTTTCCACTTTTCATTGCTAAATCATCTCCGATCCCTGTTATTTATTAAAAGTAGATGTAAAAAGAGAAGTCAATTTTAGGGGACTATTCTCATGCAGAAGGCAAGAAGTGGCTTTTTGAAAATTCATATATGGCATCTAAATTGCAATAAGTGTAAGGGGATTGCCTTTCAAATGTAGATGAGCATGGGAAGTACTGAATGCAACCACTGTGGGTGGGGATGGGGTGGTCTAGCACCCCAGAAGTAGGAAAGTAACCATCAGCTAGAAGAGTTGAGGGACTAGCATATTTGAATTCCCCAGTGCTTGGCACTTAATAAATGTTCCATTAATAAATGAACAAACCAAATTTCCCCCAGCAGCCACCACTTGGTATTTTTAAACTATGTAGTCACAATGGGCAGAACTTTAATTTTCTGTCAAGCTAGCTCGAAACCAGGAACTTTATTTGTGAAACTTCTCCCAATAATAAAATAAATTGTACCTAGTGTTGATTTGTGGTAAACTGTACAAGCCATGGTAAGGCAAGAGAAATTGAACCAAGGTTTGGGGGGAAAGGGTTGCCTCCCAAGGGATTGCTTTTTTCTCCCTCAGATAAATACCACGCTCAAAAAAATTAAATATATGGTTGTTGTAAAAATATGAAACAATATAAATTGAAAACTAAAAGTCCACCTCTTCTATGTACTAGGAGTAACTACTGTATATATATAATTGACCCTTAAACAACACAGGTTTGAACTTTACAGGTCCACTTAAACCCAGATTTTTTTCAATAAATACTGTAAATGTATTTTATCTTCCTTAAGATTGCCTTAATAACATTTTCTTTTCCCTACCTTATTTTATCGTAATAATATAGCATATAATACATATAACATGTAAAATATGTGTTAATCAACTATTTATGTTGTCGGCAAGGCTTCCAGTCAAATGTGGGCAATTAGTAGTAAAATTTTTGGAGGAATCAAAAGTTATGTGTAGATTTGTGACTATTCAGGGGGAATAGGGGTGTCAGCACCCGTTACCCCATGTTGTTCAGGGGTCAAATGTACTTCCAAACCTCTTTCTATACATATATGTAATCTGCCTTTGGCTTATATGTATACAGGATTTTTTAAAGTGGAATACTATACATACTGTTGTACATTTAAAAAATTCACTTGAGCACATAACATGGACAGCCTTCTGTCTCAGCACACACAAAGCTACTTCATTCTTTTTGGTGGATTCATAGTATTCCATAATGGGACATACCATAAATTATTTATCTATTTCTCTCTGGCTGGACACTTATGTTGTCTGTCAACTTTTGCCATTATAAGCAATGCTGCAATGAATCTACTTGTACATATACTTACTGGTGTGAGAAAACCTATGGAAGATATTCTTACAAGTGGAATTGTTGGCTTGAAGAATATGTACTTTTAAAGACTTAGCCACTGGCAAGTTAAAGCATATGGTTTATCCTGTGAAGTTTATTATACCTTGGGTACTGGCTAAAAAGAGAGATGTCAAGACACCAATGAGATGAGACTAAGTACTGAATGTTGCCTTATTTTATTTTTATTCACCAAATAATTATTTAATCTTCTTCTCTGAGCTATATGTAGATAATATTTTGAAAGGTAATCATGGCTTATCTAGTCCAAAGCAATGATTTATTTTCTTCCATTAAAAAAATCACCAAAAAACTTCTTGGCTCATTCATAAGCCCTCCTGTGTTTCGAACATTCCTACAATTAGTTTATACTGGAAATTGAGTAATGTCAGGCGGAATTTATTATTCCTTCTTTTTCCCTATGAAAAAAGGTATGGCCAATGCTTCCTGTATCATGATCAGTGTCATTTCTCATTTGGTCCATATTCCATAAAACTATTTCTTGAGGTATGTATTCAATCCTCAAATTCTGAACAGCTCATCTAGACACCAGGAACTTTTACTCTCTTCAAAAATTCTATCATTTTGCTTCCCCTTACATGATCTTTTGAAAAATCCTCTAATCTTTCTCAATATAATCTGGAGTCCCCAAAGAAAGGAAGCTAAGGCCCCTAGATCACCTTTGGTACATTCTGAGTAGCTTCTATTCTAAGCTTAATTTTTCTTTGGCAAATTGTTTGCTTTTGTGAGGTTTTGCATTTATTTTCAGTGCATATAGTTTCCCTTTCTGTTTCACAACCTTTATTTTCATATGCATAAGTGAATAATCTCACTCTCCAATTCCATATTTGCCAGTTTTATTCTTAATTATTGCTATCTCTATCGAAATAAGATCTGTTTAGATTTTTTTTTCCACACAGATTCTAAATATCTCGCTTGCATGTGGTTATCTGGATATCCCAGCTCTGTCTAAAGAAAAAAAAACGAACACTAAAATTCCTTCTACAACACAATTTGTTGTACGGAAGAAGTAAGTCATTTCTCTAAACAACTTTTATATAGTTAAGTCCTCATTTAACATCGTTATCAACTGAACGACTTAGGTTCTGCGACTTAAAGTGAAACAACATATAACGAAAGCAATTTTACCACAGGTTGATTGTTATAAACAAGAGTTAAGTTCCTATGTTATCTTATCAACATTATAACAAAACAATGTTGAATGAAACAATGTTATTCCAGGACCTGCTGTGCTCTAATCTTGTGGAGAATGCACACATTAACAGAATAGATTCAATGACATGGAAGCATAGATCAGACTGACGAATGTCAGAGGGATGGAGGAGGGCGGGTGGGTGGAGGGGGAGAGATTAACCAAAGAATTTATATGCATATATGCACAACCCAAGGACACGGACAATGGTAAGGAGAGGGACTGGGGAGGGGTTGGGATAGGGTGGAGTGGGTCATTCGGGAGAAAAAGGGACATCTGTAATATTTTAAACAAAAAGAAAATTAAAAAAAGAAAAAGAAAAGGGGGGTTCTTCTCCACAATTCTCATCTGCCCTCTATATATTCGTTTCCCATTATCCACGGTTTCGCTTTCCATGGCTTCAGTTACCTACGGCCAACCCCAGTCTGAATATATTAAGTGGAAAATTCCAGGAGTAAACAATTCATAAATTTTAAATTGCATGCTGTTCTAAGTAGTGTGATGGAGTCTCATGCTGTGCTGCTTTGTCCTGCCTGGGGGGGATGTGAATCATCCCTTTTTGTCCTGCATCTCCATGCTGTATATGATCTCCACCCACTAGTCACTAAGAGCCATCTCCATTATCAGATCAGTTATCATCATAGACA